AGCATTCAACTCCGTCTCGGCACAAACTGAGAGCGCTAGAAAGGAATGTAATTCAGAGAATTCATCAACCACAGGTGATGGTGGGATGGTCACAGGTAATTCAAAACCACAAATGGAGTTCTATAGACGGCGAGAAGCAAAATTAGATAGGGAACAGAGTGAAATAAAATTATTTCTGAAGAGTGTGAATAAGCGGATCAGTGATTTGCACCATGCTGCTGGAGAAGATGGGAGACAGTGCGACACAAACGCGAGGCGCGTAAACGAGATTAAAACTGAAATAGCACAGATGGAAAAGATCTTGACAGATTGCAGGGAAATTCTCTTGCAACGTGGAAAAGTGCAAACATTTTTACAGCTCCAAAGAGGAGTAATCGCTAAGGCCGCACGAGGTAAGGGTTTCGTTAGGTGATGGTGTAAATTTAAGAAATGCAGTGAAAGTGATGTGATAAGGTTTGTTCGTTCTAATGAATGTTTCTTTTAAATTAACAATAAACAAGATTGTTTCATTTCTATGTTGCTGTTGGCTTTGCTTTGACATATTTTAAGTTTGTTTACAAATTGCTACATTATCATGACAAGGGATTAGTAGGTTTAAGACAATGAATTTGAGATTCGTGGAAAATTGTGCAATCAAAAATAAAAATAACTATACAAGTAATGAATGAGAAAATATGCAGGCGAAATTGACCTACTATGTTTTTCAAAACAAAACTGAAATAGGGCGTACGAAAGTACTGGGTCAAGTGTGGCATTTGACTTTATGCAAAAAATATCGTTAATAGCCGAAGTAAATGTGCCTTTTATAGCTTCTTCACAAGGCCTTTTTCACCCTTACGTGGCCTTGTGATATGGACTTATTTTGCCACTGCTCACGGGCAGATCGGAAAAGTCCCGATTGCGCTTTCACAGGTTCTATTTGGGGTCATTCTTCATATTTCTTCTAAGTACCAAAAAGGCTTTAACTACTTTGCGAGAAATAGCAACTATACCAATTGTTATTCTGTGAAAATGATTGATCTCACTTATGGTATGGAACCATGGTAACGCAGGTTTAAAGACAATGCCACAAATATGGACTGCAATCACTTTCGTCTACCAAAAAGTACAATATTTTTTGACAAAAATTAAATTATTAATATTTTATACCTTCTGTGGACTAAAGAAGAAAAGTGTCCCGCATAAATGCAGTGGTGATCGACATCAGGACATTTAAACAGTTGGATGTTCATGTGCGTGCCATTATGTGTTCGTGTGTGTTGGATGAGGTCCTGAATAATCTGTTGGTATATTCTGAACCATATAACTATTCTATCTCACATGATATTAGCATGATAAATGCCAAAAACTTCTGGAACAATAGTACTATATTGGATATAAACTTAACTGGCTAACTAAGAGAACTACACCTTTTAAAGCTCCATTGAGGAGATTTGAATTATGGCTACAAAGGCCCAAATGTTCTGGAAATGTTAAAGTATAAAGAGACAGATTATTGACTAAGACATGGTTGGATGATAATACAAGGAAATTTGCGAAACGTCTAATTTTCTGTAGGTAAGATTCCATTTGAGGGGGTCTGCGAATTCGTGGCTCTACGGGTGCGCCACGAGTGGCCACGCCTTTACCTCAATTTGCCAATGTGGCCGACGCGGAGCCTTAATCAACGTCAGGATGATATCACCACCCTCTTGGGCTTCGGGCGCATGAATGTGGTGCTTCCCCGTAACCGCACGCCTGTCGAGGACGCCACGGCGGCTCTCGAGAAATGGCGTCTCCTCTCACGCCGCTACGTTGACGTCGACGGTCTGGCAACTGGCCTAACACTTGCCGGGTGGTCTGTCTGGGCTGAAGATGTGCGCAGTCGGTTTGGTCAGGAGGCAGGAGCAGCAGCGGAGTCAGAGAAAGAAGCATCAGAGGTGGTGGAGGAAGCAGCGGATACACTAGCAGAAGAGATATTTGAATCAGAGACAGAAGTGAAGATAGATTTGACAGTTGTTAACGAAGAGACTTGTTTAAATGAGGATGAATGTGAAACTTCACCTAAATCTCTGCACGATAGGAGTTCCAAAATTACTGAGCACCAGAACTGGAGTCGGGATTCTAGCATGCCGAAAAGTATACACAAAAGCAGTGTTGATGACGTGGAGAAACAGGTCTCACTTAATGATGACGATCAGGAGTGTCTTGTTAAATCAGACGGTAGCACCATCCAAGAGGATGATGTGATGGAGGCCCTGCACTTAGAAAAAGACGTCCTAGACCAAGAAAGTTGCACTAGTGAAGGGATTTTAAGAAAGCCTTTTATGCGCAGTAGCAGATCTGGCAATACTGAGCGTGATGATCTACCCAGCAACTCATCAGATATTCCTTTGGAACAGGAGGAACTTGTTGATAAGTCGAACCATCTCAGTGAAAAGTACAAGGAGGAAGATAGTTCCAACCACTCTTTGGAACATATTAGTCATAAAAGCTCTTTCAGTGAAGATGAATCTGCAAAAAAGAATGACATTTCACAGCGATTATCCAGGCATGATAGCCAAAAGGATGATAAGGTAAATACTCAGAACCAAGATGCTAATCCATATACGAGGGGGGAATCGAGTAAGAAGTCTACTAGAAACGATAGTCGGAAATCACGCAAAGATCCCAAGGTGGAGGATTCTCTAAGGTCAGAAAAGGATGAAGGAACAATCTCCAGGAAAAAAACTTCGGAGGGCGACCAGGGTAGAACAAAAAAGAGCTCAACACAAAAATCTTTGACGTCCAAGAAGGTTGAAAAACAAGAATTTATGGAAAGGCATTTCGAAGACGAGGAATCAAAGCAAAGTGCTTTTATGAAAACTGTGGAAACAAAGAAAGATGGAAATTTTAATGGTTGTTCACCTCCAAGTCTGACTAAGATTGGTCGTTTTCAAACTAAAGATGAAAAGAATGAAAATGAACAAGGCACACCAGATGATAAGGAGAATACGGCGATATCGAAGAGTGGCTCGTTAAAAAGGGATTATATGATTGCTAGATCAAATGGACAAGTGAACCCTGATCTGGGGAACATGCAGGGATTTGACAATTTTTCGAAGTCAGATGCTGAAACTGATTTGGCTAAAGTTGAAGATGATGACTCTAAATTTCAAGGCGAGCAACCTATTAAAGAGGATGGGAGCGCAAGATTCGACAGTGCTTACAGTAAAAAACCCAGTCTCTCAGAAAGTGCTGACAAAGATAAAGACATTAGTGAGCAACTTTCAAAGGAGGATGGACCTAAAGAAGCGTTGGTGGAGAACTTTCAAAAATCACCACCAAAGTCAAAAGTTTCCTTGACAGATCAACGCGTTCCAAAAAACCAAAAAAGTACGCAATCCTTAAGGGACAAGAAAAAGCCACACAGAATATCGGGTAAAAAGGCGATTGCTGGCAATAAGCCGAAACAAGTAGAAAGAGGAGGACATGGCGTAAAGGGCAGTACCTCATCCGAGAAAGAACTCGATAAACAAGTTGCTGGAACTAGTATAGGATTGGTTGTGTCAAGAAAAACATTCTCGGTGACTGAAAGTAAGGAAAAGTTAAAGGATGTGAATGCGAGAGGCAGCGAAGGCAGTAAGAAAAAGAGAAAAAAGGAGAAATAGTCTCAGTTCATCTGCTTCACAAAAATTTTAACTCATTCCAATTCTCAATTTCGCACTGAAAGAATAAAGATACGTATGAGTAAGTATTTGGATGCTTTTTACCAGATTCGATCACTTTAATTACCCTAACGCTTCAGTGAAATTGGGAAGCTGTCGCATGGCCTCGATTATGGTACCAAGACGTTAGGTGTATACGCTCTACTAACTGCTTTTAATCATTACTTCACCTTTCGCTTAACGTTATTTGTTGTAAGAGTGGTTATTTCGATAATGGTGTCTTCCTCTCCACTTACTGCAAGTTTTAAATACCAAAAAATCAGGATAAACACTACCTGGACGTTTGTCAAATTTTGCATTGGTTTCATTGGTCTGTGAATCTCACATCTCGCTGACTGCCACTATTTGCTTTCACCATCGGTACTTCAAAATATGTTCTTACTTGAGCATTGGAGATCTTATAGCGATGAATAAGCAGTCATAAGGCCAAGGAACAAATTTCTTTGAAAAATCGTTGTAATATCACTGCCAACATACATCAAATTCGCATGTCATGAGCGGGAGAGTGCGATGAAAAAACGCCGTTTAGCGTAAAATGTCAGTGATTCACTTGGTGAAGGTGTGAGTGATAGCTGGATCGTTATGAAACCGTTTTCGAATTAAGGACGCTCTCGTGTCGTAAGGTCAAGCGCGGTGCAGCTGTTCACCCGTATGACCGGGTGGTTGCAATGACTTCACCCATCGCGTGTCGTGTACGTCGAGCACCCAAACTGGTACGAAAACGTGGTCATAGCCTGTGTCAGGTCGCAAATCTCTGGGTCTATTGGCCATTGGGCAAGTCCTGCCTTGACTACTGCACAAACTGCCTTTTGACGGAGTGACTTTGAGGGAGCATCCCGACTACGACCTAACACAAAGTGATTACAGACGCCATTGTGTAGCACCTGTGTTACCTGCGTGTGACGCTAGTAACGAAAGTGTTAATTAGTGGATGTGATCATGATGGTTTTGGTAAGAGTGGAGGGATTTTGTAGAAAGGGGGGAACATTAAATTTCGCCCAATGGGTATGTGTTTTAAGAATTATATGAATTTTTCAGTGGCTCGCCACTATACTGTAATCCCATTCGACTGAATGTCTTCAAATGGCCTGACAGGGAAAATATTGCACCAGACCATCATGCATCCTCACTTCCCGTTTATGTTCATTTATGGCAGGATTGATCTGATTCAAGTGACAGTCTGAAGCGTATGTGCCCAACTGATATCTGCCTTGAATTTAAATCGACATTTTGGAGTGAGTGATTTTACAGGCACGTGGTTACTATTAGGTCCGTTAAATGGAGGCGCCGAGGTGACCCGCTTACGAGTACATTAATGTTGAAAGGTGACGGCGTTGAGAGGATGATTCAGTGCAACAGCGCACACCCGGTCTACCAGCGAGGCCAGAGCAAGTGGCGATAGGAACGCAAGTTATTGATTGGAGGAGGAAGGGTGCGGTGGACGCGCGGAGTATGTACGCTAGGCGGCGGAGGGGGGAGGTAGCCGACGTGCGATGACAATGTCGCCCATGCCCCATACGTTATGAGTCACGCAGAGGGACACGTGTATTCCAACGTAGACGCTGCAAAATAGCTAATGGCCTGCGCCAATGCCTTTTCATGCCTTTTGCATGCCGCGTCTCACCATCTGAAAGGACCCTCGCATCAATGCAAACAGAAGTTGTGCAGATGGATCTTAGTGATTCTGCCGGTGGCAAATATTTCGTGCAAAAAAGACATGTCTGCCTGATTCTAAGACCTATAAAGCCACTTTGGCGTTGCCTGCTCAATTTGTTAGTTAAGCTGAATAAAAAGAAATATTGAACTTTTGACTAGACATGCATTTTGCCATGGCTCCAAGCATCAGGAAGGAATATTTAAGCAGCATACGTTTAGGGATTGTTCATCATTTTTCCCGGACTGATACAAAGACCATCAGGATTTAACCGTCATCCCTTTCCATTGGGGATTACACAGGTGTGGATGCGAAGACTTTTGCTTCCATGCCTTTGTGGCATACCAGATTTCATTTGACAAAAACCCTGGATTTAAATTTGCTTTCCAAGGAGCGAATTATAGCGAGCAATTGGAGGCAATGGTCTACTGGAAATGAGTGGACAATAAACTCATCCGAGGGCTACTTGTGAATAAAGGAGTAAAGGACACGTCAATAAATGAACAATTAGACACTCAATTCGAGTCTGCACTCTATAGTTAATGTCAGCTGATCCATTAATTCACACGTCTCCATAACACTCAGACCCTCCAGAACAGCACTTGAGCAGTAATTGGCTTCCAGTTTTTCGAATAACCAAGAAAGAAGCACGATTCGCTCCGTAGTAGCTTATCGGTTTAACAGGAGTACAAAGCATTTCTTCTCACCCCAGAACTGTGTAGACATAGAAATGCCCCAAGGCCCAACCAGATACCTCTGAACCCGTAGTTTTTCTGCCTCCCCAAGTTATTTGCTAGACCTTTGAGTCGAATGGTGACATGAACATTAAGTTCGAGCTCCGGAAAATTTAAAACGAATGAATACCATGCACAATCAGAAGATGGCAAAGTTTGCAAACGCAATTTGCAATTTGAAAGAAACACAATAAACTCCGATGACTAAACATGCATCGCACCCACCGTCTCTGAAATATTCTATTGCTCATAGCTGATAAATTCACAACGCCGTTACTGATGCGTGGGAAAGTATCATTAAGGCGTGACTGACTTACCAAATGGATAGGCAACAACCTGTGCTAACTTTGGAAAAGGTGAGTTTTGTTATTTTGAATCCCAAAATCCCAATGTACAAAGTGTTTGACAGATATTAAAAAGTCGCATCGAATACAGCCCTTGTATCCGCTCTGAACGTAGTACCGGCGGCTACTCACGTGCAATGTTCAAGTACAGCCTGATGCAGGCTGAGTTCTCGTCCTATCGCATTGACTGTCACAATACATCCTTCACACGCACACACCGGGGTATGGGTGTTGGACCGATGAACAGAAGGGTGGACATGGCAGGCGCTCACAGTGTCAGGCCATATTCTGAGAAAGACCTGAAAATTCCGAGGAAAGACCGGACACGGTCACTCGCCTCATTCAATAACTGAGAAGAATAATCTTTGCAGGAGCGAATGTTGGTCGGACACAGATGAGTGCATGACCCACGCCTAGTCCCATTTGAACCCAGAAATACACATTTCCCCCAAACTATTGCACCAAGCTGGAAATTCAGACGTCCCAAAAAATCCTTTTGACGGTTGGAGCCGACGTATTTCTACGAAACTTTAGTGAAATTCTTAGATAGTTTCAGTGAAGACAAAGCCTCCGCACCACTCTCAGACGAAGTGGCTCAAATCCGCAAAACACGGAGTCGAATCTCCCCAAGATCCCATTTCTTACCTTAAGTAAAGCCAAAATCCCCATCAAAGTTGTGGTTAAAGTAATCGGGACACCGTTTAACACTTGCCACGAGCTTGAAATAAGATGAAACCTTTTTAACCCTAAATTGTTTCAAACTAGGTAAAAATACACCGTTTCTGGAGCGTAGAAATAAGTTAAACGCCCAATAAGTTAATTATCATTTTAGGATGAAAGCACTTACGGTGATAATAGTGTCAACTTCCGATGCCATCGAAGGAAAACTCAAAATATGGGGTAAAAATGTGCTTTATTTACAACCAGAGGTACACAGATCGACTAGGAAAATAATCGTTCGCGAAGAAATTCGCACGCCTGCGGTGGCAGAGGTGGGAAGGGCGTGTGCCGATGGTTTGAATCCCCAATGGCAATTATGGTAGCTTGCGGTCCAAACTTACAACCATGCGGTTCAGTAATTTATTGCAAGCACGTGTGGAAGCCAAGAACCGTAGGAAATGAGACAACTGAAAAGCGTCCCTATGGATCATGAGATCAATCGATCCGGAAGGGCAGAAATTGGCTGATTGATTAATTTAAATAGTCGAATTTAAAAAATCACACAGATAAACTCAGAGACATAGAAAGTAAAAGAGGACATACGGACTAGGAAAGATTACATCCGAGCTCATAGCTATTATTTCTCATCTTGGTGAAACACCAGCCAACGGCAAAGTGGTACATCAAAACTGAAAGAGTGGGGTGTAGAAGTGCAGGTAGAAAGGTACACCGACAGATTAAGGATACAGATTTCACTGAATGGAAGATGAGCCTACAGTATGGTTGAAAGCACCTAAGATGGACTGTATTCACACCTGAACGTCCTGCGGAGGATTGGCTTTGGGGCTCAAAAGATTCATACAGACAAAACAGCTACACAAGTCTGGACACTGAAGCTCCGGAAAGTGCGGGATCAGATTTTCGAAGGAGCATCGCAGATATGTTTCGGCCACACTCATGTAGCACCTACAGTTGTCAAATAAACATCTCACGTTTACTCACCCACGCATCTAGCGATGCACCCTAGAAGCATTCAAAACCCGATTTTAAGAAGTAATTTATATAATCAAACCATACATGAATACACGCATAAAAAGGAGCATGAAGCATTTTACACCACGAAACTTGCACACCTCGTGGAGACTAGCCTTGAACATCATCCGACGTGCAAACCTAGCAGACTAGTGGTAGCCGCATGTTAAAGATTGTCGTCTGGTAAAAAACGGAGAAGGAAAACTGACGATGCTTTGGTGCTTTTATTTAAAAAGCAAGCCGTGGAGACCTGCACGTAGGCACAGCGCATGTATGAGCGAAGTAACAATATCAGAGGCGAGTCCTTCAATTTGTTCGATCAGTAGGTAGCTCGCTCTGATCCACCAAATAGAATAAGATAGCTATTTAACAAATATAACATTCTTTTTCCTAGAATACTCAAATGAGAGAGGCGTGATTATTTGTTACGGAATCCCTTCAAGTAGAGCTTCATCCAAAGAAGGTTGAGGTCGAAATGGCAAATTTCGTAAATGACCAAAATTAGCCAACAACGGATAGTTTATTTCCCAGGATTACAAGGCCGTAGACATAATCGTTGCCTAATTAGAGCGTTTATTCGACTCTAACATATTCGTCCCGTTTTATTTTACCCAAAATTTATCGAACAAATATGCCTTTTGTAAAATGGTTGGATAAATGATTCTAAGCATATGCAGTCGGATGTACTGGAGGACAAAGATGAGGGAGCCACTTTCATTACGATTTAACTCTTCACATAAACGTATACTGCCTTTTCAACAAGAGGTCGTAGAAAATTTGCCTCCCAAAATGCGTTAATTCACATTTTTAGGAGAACAGAAAAGGCTGTCACATAAACAGCCAAACTAGGTTGCTCATGTGAGGAGGTATGGCGACGAACCATCATTCGTCTAAAAGTGCACTCAAAACGTTCGTAGCCGATGGACAGGGTGGTCATCTATTTACTCCAAGTAGGAGATTCAAAACAAAATGCAACCTTTTGTCGAATCAAAAAGCGCCACCTATAGCAACTTCATGACAAAGAATGGACATCGGGAAATCATCAGACTGTAAGGTATTTTTAAACAAAAACATATCAATGGGACAGTCTACAAGTAAGAGCACAATCATAAAAGGTTTGCAAGCGCAGACGCGATATTCACCCAAACACGAATAATATATGACGTACAAAACAGCGTGTCATCATCAAATAACGACACGAGCCTTGCCCTGCCTGTCTGATAAATAGAATAAACGCGCTGTGGAAATAAAATCGATGATTGCTTCGACATCTGTGAAGAAGTTGTTTGCCTACTTTCGAAGCAATATAGCCACTGAGTGGCGGCTTGTCATCTCAGGCAACGCTCTACAGCGCACACATAAAAGCAGATAGATAAGACCTACGTTCTGTAGTACTTTGAGATGACATGTCGCCTGATGTTATGTCCACCAGGGGAGGTTGTGCGTTCACTAGAGCTTCGGGACGCCGTCAGACGCAACCGCGACTGTTGCGGGGACGAAGTAGACCTTGTAGAATTCTGTCCAGCCATTTCCATTTCTTCTTTAATCTCCACTTCCACTCTTTCTGTCTTCGCCCCCGCCTCTGTCTCCCCCACCTCAGCTTGCAATCGCCCACCACGAGCGGCCTCGGCTAGCAATTGAAGAGCGCATCGGTGGTGCTGCAGAGCCAGAGGAATCAACTCCCTCTCTGCATAACCTGTGACGTGCTGAAGAAGGGGGGGCCACAGAGGACAGCGCTGCTTCTCCATTTCACGCAATTCTCGAATGCATTTGCAGGTTTGATCCTCCTGCGGCTGTTGTTCCCTTACTTTTGACACCCCTTCACCCGAATAAAGGGGGTCGGATATTGATTTCAAGAAACGCACGGGCCTAAGTACCGTAGAATTAAGCCAAAGTCATCAAAAAACTCGAGACGTGATAAATCTGCATCAGAAACCTCGAAGCACAGGATGAAATTATCTAACGAACAAAAGAAATAATAACGGATGCTAAGGTAGTCGAAACATCTCATCAGAACGTTGCTTCAAAGCTCTTAAATGTTTTAACGTAATTTTCAGCAAAGAAGATTAGTTTTAAAACCCATCTATTGTGTACGTTCATTGACTTACTTATACCAGTGAATTAAACGGTCAAGCAGCTTAGAAAATAGGGCTTACACAAAAGGAGTTGCAACGGAGACGTAACCTTCTGAGGACCAATTATCATTCTGACGTGGAGAGTCACCACAGGACGCATAAAAATCACTGAAGCGTTCGTTGGAAAGGATGAGATTGTAAAGCTCCGCAATTTGCGACAGCTTACGCCAGAGAGCGTAGGACGGATTGCGAAGGACGCATCGAGCCAACCACAGCACGGCCGCTGCCCTCTTCGAGGCGCGCGCCAGACTCACCTCGTGGTCGTGAAGCCCCACGTCCAGCAGAAAGCGACACATGCAGTCCAGCTGTGCGCTTTGCGAATCCAACACCTTGAGATGCAGGAACGGACATCTCATTATGGTCAGGCGACAAAATAAATGACGTTAGCATATACATGTTTACTCGACTCCCAAGTTCTCCTGCAAGCACAGCAAATGGAAAACAAACTCAGTACTTAAACTAAGTCAAAAAGCAGAAACAACTAAAGGGTGCTGTGACTTTACACGGGCTTGAAAAAGTTGTCCAAAAATAGTCCACTGTGCTGACTCATCGCATCCGCCTTTAAAACGGGGCTAAGCGCTGTATCAAAGAGCACGGCGTCTTACGCCACTTTACATCGGCAATCAGGAGACTTACAAACCGGCTTGACGTTCGGCCATGCGTTCACATTGATTTATCGGAAAATCAAAACAATGAATGCAAACTTGACACCACTTTTTTGAACAAGTTGTCATGTGGAAAAGGCAAGTCAAACGCGATCAGGTGTGATGGGCCATTTTGCAGCTAACCCGATAGAAGTATCGCAGAAAGAAGAAGGGATTCGGACGGTGTAGTTTGAAGTCAATAGATGTTAGGAGTTCCTGCTCAGCAATAACCAACTGTTCGTGCGAGTAGGCATTGTTCGTCAGGTAGACGAAGTCCTCAATTTCAGGCGAGTCCAACTCCTCCAGTTTACACGCTACCACAAAAGCCACACTCGCGTACAATTGGACTTCAGTTCTACAAAAAGGAAAAAAAAGTTGCGCTCCTAGAAAGGACATGAGAGAGGAATACGACTGAGTACTGGTATGGGTGGGAGTGAAAGAAAGTACAGCGAATCGAAAATCCTACTAACACGGAGTACCTACAGAACTTTTCAAAATCGGAGTCGTGCTTGTCTTCAGAGCATGCACTAGATTCTGCACTACCATTTGTATCTGCATCGGTATTTTTGTGGCTTACGAAATGTATTTATTGGGAAATTCAGAGGGCTAAAAAAAAGTAGATAATATGCACAAAAGAAATCCCTTTGTGACTGTTGACAGGACTTGTCGAAATCCACAGATGAGATTTTGCAATAGCATTTTCGCAATTTTTTGCAGAAAAAAAATATGGGAGACGTACTCAAAGACTCGTCTTGTTTGGAGATGAAAATAAGAACAGCCTATTCAATGCAATAAAGTTAATTGACTTTGTCGTAATTTGCATTTTTACCAGGCAATTATTAGTATGTCAACTTCAGAAAAAAATGCCTAAAAACAGATCTAAAGTTAAAAAAACAGAACAATTTGTTACTAATGAATGCCACTGGGGAATGAGACGAAGGAAATATACCGTTCGATCTTAGTGAAACAGCTACAAAGCAAGAGAAATCCATTAAATGAACGCCTTAAAAGAACGGAAATAAAACCTCAAAAACCACTGGTAGAGTACCTTTGTATGCGGCCAGCGTTATCGAAGAAGGCGTAGAGGAGGCCCCAGGCTAGGTGAAGAGAGCTGCTAGAGAGAGCAAAGCTTTCCTGAATCTCCACCATCCAGTCTGCCAAGGTGACGAGCATGTCAGACGTGATCTGGTGGCTCTGACGGCTCAAAAAGTCTCTAATCTGAAAACATGCCTGAAACAACACAAATACAAAAAAAAATTGAGCGGTGAAGTTGAATGAGCAGAAGAGACCGTAAGCAGAAAATGAAAAGAACGTGAAACATTCTGATGCATAATGTGGTAGCTAGGCCTACAAAAAGTATTTATCGATTTGTCTGAGCCGCGATCTGCTAGAAATTACCACATTTTAGTAGAAGGTTAAAAATATATGGTGGTACGAACAAAATGCATTCTAGGTTCTTCGTACAAAGAAAATCGGAACAACTACGACAAAACTACTAGCACAGCACAGTCATAAAACCGCGACTGCGAAGCAAAAATGAAGTGGCAAATAATGGGAAAATGGACAACAAACTATGGTGGAACAAGGGTACAGGCAGTGGCATGGGTATTTGTGATTTGACCAGCAGGAGCATTGACGCAGATAGGGAATACATTACTTTTCGATCCGACAATAAGCATAACTCATTAGTACTCCTCAGCTATGATTTAACACCAAAACTCATTTTGAGGTGATAATGGTTAAAAATTCTACTAGTAAAATCGTTAAATAAACGTTGTTGTCATAAAGTAACTGACAGATAGACTAAGAATGCATAGAGTAGAACTACTAAAGTTTAACAAAGAGAAAATGTAAACTGGTAAGAAAACCTTATCCTCTTGAAGGCGTTCGTGAGCTATTATTCGAAGAAAATAGTCCATATTGGGAAAGCAGCCTTCAGTGCAAGGATGGTCGGAGAACCTCAATTCAGAGAATATGGATTCAAGACTGGATCTTTCAGCGAAAATCGCCCTGACAACATCAAATGCAATCTGAAGCGTAACAAACTTTGCTGTAGGAACAATAGATCTGTTAAAATATCTCTACATATAACGTGATGTATAGTTAAGCCATCATGATCACACCATTTCAAAAGGCAGAATAACACCGGGATAAGAAATTACCACAGGTTTTTGTCTGGAAGATGAGGCATTGCATGAGTTTATCGATGAAGAGTAGGATGATGCACCGTCTTTGTTATTTAAAGGGACCACTTTAAAGCTAGATTTTGAGGATGAAACTGTGAAAGAATGAGGTGTGGAATTTTTGGGCTTCAAAATATCAGTGTCTCCCTTTGCGCACTTAGAGCTGTCCAAACGGTTGGATTCGGATTCGGTACGAGCGGACAATTTGCAACCAACAGGAATCAATTCTGATGAATAGTTGTGAGGACGTCCTCCACAATAAGCATTTTCTAGAAAAAAAAATCATAAGCGCTTTACGGAAAATTGAAAATGGCTAGTTTGCAAGAGAATTGAAGTAGGTTACCTTTGTCGAAAAAAGGGCTATCGAGGATATGACGTTTTTTAGGTGCCTACTTAATTATTACCAATGGGTTTTACCTGATTCGATTTATCGGATAACTTCGAAACCGGTCGGCCTTTCAAACTCATATCAGATACATGAGGTTCTACGCAAATTGGATCTTTCTTCACGTCGGATATTAGATTCATTGTTCTATAGTGAATATTAGACTGCTAATAGATTTTTTGATCCTGGCATCCAACAGCACCAAACCAACCAGGCAGTATCTCGATATCACAAAAACTCCACACTGAGGCTAATTCAAATATTCGTGGTGCCTTCCAAGGTCATTCATTTATTCTTTTTTCATTGGAAGACAAATAATCTAGCCAGTTTTATATAAAGGCACATAGATATTTATCAATATTAAGCCTAGCTATAAAGCATTGGCAAGTGCTTTAAAAATCAGCAATATTACACAAGCTGTAAAATTCCTGGACAGCACTCAAAACATAAAAAATTGTGAATGGTCAGAAACACCTTGCATTTAATTATTTACTTAGCAACTCCACCTATTTCTAATAATACAGCTGATGTGAATTGCCGAATGTGAATGCGTACAAGGAGGGCTTACGATGGAGTAATAAAATGCAATCATAAGTTGTATATTTACCTCCCCAAGACTTCTCTGAAGACGAGAGAAGACGTAATGCTGGGGCAGAATATGAATATAATTATGTGTTCAACATGCAGTAGAACTTGAGACTATTGACACGGCTTAAATGCCAGCTCATTTGCAATGTTGGAAGCCCAAAATGGTCACTACTAAAACTGAGAGCTAAGCAAAAAACCAACGCATTATGGCCTATATGCATGCATACCCGTATCGACTCGAGTCTTGCCTAAAGTTGTGCTAAGCCAAAATACTTCAGTAAAACATGTATTGCTAATATGTGGAGGATTTTATAGGCTCCTAGCATGGTCCAAAGTTCATACCACAGAGTGGAATTACAATCTGGGTGACCCGAACAGCCCATGTTGTTAAACACACTGTTCAGCACAATATCAACTTATTACACAAAGATACAAATACTAGTGGTGGTAGTAGGATGATTGTCTGCATTTTTGTGGACTTCCCAGCCCTACAAGGGTGTGATGGAGGCCTACTTCCGATACTGTGCATGATCTATTCCTTTAATTATTTACCAATGACCTATGTCTAGATTTTTAATCCACATTTAAGACTGTTGCCAAGATTAGACGCTCCATTACTTCTATAATCGACCTCCAATACATTAGCGATGGGAAACTAATCGTTTTCATGGTATTTGATACAGTACAGCAAAATGTGTAATGAATGTGCACTAAATTACGGATGAAAGCGCTATTTTATTGTAAGTTGGAAGTACTCAAATAAGGAGCACATTCTTGGATTAAAATAGCTAGATGAAGGAAGACATCAAACACTGAGCCAAAGTATGATTTTGTAAACGATGAATAAATTCAGGGTTTTCTCCTACCCTGGAGATTGATGACGCTTTCTAAGTTGCAAGGTTGTTATAGTCTGTCCTTTCGCCGCCTGTAAAGGCGTATTCAGATAAACATGTGGTGCTATCATCATAAGCATGAATAAATCTGATCATCTACACAGCGTTTTTTACCCACAGCTCAAAATGATGTCTCTCAAACCGAGAGCCTTGGTAACCGAAATCGAGAAAAGACTTCTGGTTCCATGTTCCTGCAATTATGCATTGTATTAAGCAGTAATAATGAAAAATAGAGAATGTGTTCCTACCTAATGTGTAAACGAGTAGGTTGGTGTGCATGTGGCCAAGGCGAAGGCATCTGGCATAAATATTTAAGGCTAATGTTGCAACCTAGACAGCATTCATGTTTTTCTTAAACACCCGTTTATGCCTACAAATTATTCATTATTTCATCTATGCCTAAGCCATTAATTAACTCAGACGTGGGATCCTCAAGGAAATGGCAATTTTAAATAACAAGCTATACTTTGCTTTGTAAAAACGATTTTCAAAGCCTGTTCCGATAAGCTCTCACACAATCATACTAAGTGGAAATGCCTCCTATATGAAAGATTCAAATTTATTTCTTTACAAATCACCGGTCTTCTTTGCCCTAATATGTAAGCTTTGAAATCACCCTCCTTTTTTGCAAAAAATGGTTGATTGGAGAAGGTGGGGAAATGATTAATTTTCTTCATCAATTGTTATATGGCCCAAAGGCCAAACCAGCAAGCAAACACCTCAATATTTATTACTGGTGCCAATTACGATCAGCGTCATAAGAAAAGGCAACCATTGTGAACAGAATACTGACCACTCTGATACTTCCACTCATGCATGTGTGCTTCTGATCCAACCATCACGAGAACTGCTGGTATTATTCCCATGATCAAAGTATAGCATCTTGATTTGATTGTGTATAGGAAAAATGGCATGGATGTGCTGCTCAGCATCTAGTCATTGACTTAAAATATTACGAAAAAGAGCTATCACTCATACTACTGTTGTAATCGTAGCATCATCTCGGTGAGTTTCCGTCTGGAGTAATTGGCTTAATTGAAAGTGTACTTGCACATACATCTATCCACCGGATCGAAACCTCGGTCCTACACTTTCCTCTCTCTCGGTCTATTGGAATATGGACTTGAAGAAATATTTTGCAAGGTTAATGGCCATAATTGTGAAGGTCCTTATTGGTTACCCTGGTCGTGTTTATTTTCCGAGTAGTGAAATTGTGCTAGAGACATGGGAAATTTTTTGTGAGGAGTGAAGAGATATTGATATCACTCTTAAGGTGACATGCACAAGGCAATTTACTAAATCACCAACCCTCTGCAACCCGCATACAAGCGGGTGGATCACTTTGCAATGGAAATTTTAGGCGTCAGAAAAATTGTAAGGCAAATGCTTTTAATTTATGGCTGCTCTACTCCGTAAGGTAAAAATTTATTATAAGTAGGGGACAACTGGCAAGTTCCTATTCGCGAACATTTAAAAGAGAAGCACCTTTGGCAGCCTACCACGCCATCAGCGCCATCCATCCCATACGCCCACACAACCTCATAATGGGTGATACGATTTCGTTCCATCACTGAAGTTGATTGTGGCTGTATGACTGCATTTCATTTAACTAGTAAAAGAGGCGTTTATAATATGCTTGAGGACGGATTATGAATTTACTGGAATTGCGCAATCCGGTGCATCGAAAGGGAGGTGGAAAATTGAGTCCACCTTTTTTGTGCTTATTAACATTACTTGGGAAAGACATTCTATGAATATTTTTAGACAATTTATTATTGCAGAGTTATTTCAAGAGCTCTGAGTTTCGAAAAGTGGAAGTTGCTTAATCTTGTACAACTGACTCTTATAACTCCCTTTTGAATTTGAAGGAAAGTAGGCATTATCATATCCACACTAGTGTAGTGATTTAATATTTTAACTACGTGGCCACCTCATTCTCGGCTTTTACGTCCTTCCTATGGCATGGCCTTTGGGCCACGCCAGTAGCCTCCCAACTCTTCTGTATGCTAGTAATGTGTTCACCCCAGTGCTTAGGCATGTTATGACTTCAGGGAAGACTCGCGTCGCTACACTAGGCATTCTATTTAATTTACCAAATGAGTAGTTCAAGTTTTGCCTATTAATAACAACCAGAATGTATTCTAAGTCCTTAAATGCAAATGCGATTTCTATTGAAGGAAAAAAACCTTCAAAATTATAAAACTATGATTTGAAGATTGGTTATTTCGCATTCATTCAGCGAATATGGTTTGTTTCATAAAGACAGATAGAGTAAATCCTTAATCTAAACTTCCATTTATTATGGGTTCTATTTAAATGTCCATTCAGTATAAATTAATGGGTGGTAATGTTTGCTTGATATTTATAAATTTTTGATCTGCGGTCAGTAAAAACTGTTTTTCATCATACTGGGATGAATGTACTGCTTTCTCAGAACAAGTAAATCCACGAAACAATGATCTGTCAATTATATTTTCTTCGACAATAATGCCTCGTTGAACGAGAGCGGTAAATGGAAAAATGGTGTGTAAAAAGCATCATGTAAGGCTTGTTGCGCGTTTCCCATACGATCCACTGGGTGGGGTAAAACAGAGATGGAGCAGAACTGATTCGACATGGGAAGCAGAAACAAAATGCGCACAAATAGTAATTGAGCTAATTAGCTCACAAATTTCTTCATTGACTTTGCTCAACACCCTCCTGATTTCTTAGACCTGTATTTTTATGTACACTGGGGAGTTTTACGTAAAGAAATGATGTTGGTGAATACAACCCCCTCAATGATTGCTTCTGTAAAAACGTACTCTAGTATAAAAATCCTCGAGACCGGAAGATTTTGGTCATTTAAAACATGTTTAGAGCGCAAAAATACAAATGGTGCTTTTTAAATAGTGCGTAAAATTCAAAGGGGTGGGATGAAGCACTTGTCTGGCATTCGTGAACCAATTGTGATTGACATGATAGTAAAAATCTAACAATTATTCGCTAATATGCCTTAGTTAAACTTTCGTATCCATGCTTGAGTTATGATGCTGATGCATTAATATATTCGTTTGGGCTGTAATTCTCTGTGCAGTCACCAAAGTGTGAAGGTGATTAGGTGACGACGTGACTGCATTGGTTGTTTATCCTTTATGTTCGTAGAGAACACGACAGCAATCCGACAATTTGGATGAGGAAGCTGGCGTTTCACATTCAGAGTGTGCTTGCATGAACATTGCCCTTTCAGTAATTGTATCCCCGCCCATTCTTGTAAATTACTTAACAGGTAACAACCTTTCCCGCCAAAGTTACTGACTCATATCGAGGGCTAAATATCAAAGCTATCAACAAATTTCGGTCGGAATAAAGGTAAAAACCTCCACCTGTTTCGATAGTGGGAGATTTTTACTTTTACCTTTGGGGTAGGACCTTCTGGGAAAGATTTTCGGTTTGGTAATTTTTTAATTAAAAATAGGCGACAAATATGGAGTATATCTAACAAAACGATGAGATTTTGCACGATTTTGTGTTTAAATGTACTAAATAACGCCAATCTTCCTTTAGTGAAAGGAGTGAGACGCAGCGCAGTACGCAAAAACTAGCTCAAAATTATTTAGCGCTGATTTGTGGGAGGAGCATAGGACGAATTACTAGGCTACTGATCAGAGCAATCGACCGTGTGCACGGTGAAGTTAAATACTTATTCACAGTCAGCAAGATACAACAAAGAGTATTAAGTCCATAAAAAACGCAGAAAATCTCACAATTGCCGGAAGTAGAGTTGTAAGCGATGCAAAAACTGGCAACACTCATCTTCGGGGATGTGTGTGTAACAAATGCACGCAAATTGTGCCCACTGCCCACCACATTGATGAGGGCGTTCACACTTTTAAATATGAAAATAAGAAAGTAGCTGTAGAAATTGAAGTGGTTGCATTCCCATACTCTAGTGCAAATTTTTGAAATACCAAATTCCTAAAATTTTTACGAAGTTTCTCAGCCTGCTTCCCCAAGATTCACACTACAAATAATACCCAATTTCATATGCAGTGTTGTTTACCGTTACACATGACGAAGTTATAAGAGCATCAAATGTAAGCTCCAAGGTAAAATATTTGGTCATTTAATTCCCCATACTATAGATGGAGAGATATGAGCCAGCGAAGTCAAGTGAAATATTGAAGAAACACCTTAAAATCTTACGTATATTTAGTAAACTGAAATAAAAAAAGGCCTCACACCATGCAACATGACAAATAGAGTAAAAGATTAAGTTTTCACCTGTTGCATTCGTCGTGTTAGAAGCCAATCTGTCCATAAACAAAATAGCTTGGACAGTGCTAGAAATTTATTCGCTTCAGTGCTCCTCCCCACTTAAGCTTACAAGATTGGTTAGCCCAGAGTTAGGTCAGTTTTTTTTCCGCAGTGAAACGACGTAATGCAAAAGAATACGCTAATATAGTCGCAAATAATTAACAAAAGCAGATTATTCCATGAATTTTAAATGATCCAGTTATCTATTTAAAACCGAGTGTTGAGAATAGTTAACATTCCTGGAATTATTTGGCAGAATTTCGCTACACAACCACACCTGAAGCACCCACTGCAATGCACGAAAATGATTCACGCGAACCTGAAATTGCAGGCATGTGAGCCCGATTTCGCGATGCAATTAATTGCATGTCCCCTGGACACAGGAAGGATGACTTCACCTGATACGAGTGAATAAAAGTGAGTGGGCGTTAGTCCGATAAAATCATCAAGTCAAACACAATGCAATCACGGACGTGGAAAGTAAATTACTATTGGCAATCATTACTTAAAGAATAGTTACACTGCACAGCAGCAGATTACAATCACGCAAAAGGGCAATTCAAGCAATCCTTGTAAAAGTAGACGATAAGAGTAAGTGGCGGAATAGAGGGGTCTGCAGTTTGACTAAACTTAAAATTAATGTCCTTTTAAAATGTGTACATTTTCCAGTGTATTCACATCAGATGCTAGCCGTTCAGATGAGTTTATGCTAGGATGAACAGTATAAGGCCCTTTCTCTCTACTCTAGAATTAACAAGTGCTAAGAAAGTTGACTCTGTGAAAAAAAAGGAAGTTTATATTAACTAAGCATTTAGCACTTCAAAGCGCAGGATGGTCGTGCTAAACCCACATAAATGCAGTTATTTCATGTTTTGTATGTACACATAATACCTGTGGATACTTAAAGGTATCCGTCTCATGCTGCACGCATTAGACATCCGTTTCATTGTCGCCAATGCATGGTAAGCATCCATGGGATTCCATGATGATTAATGGGATGAGACCTCTGAAAACACAATCAACCCCTTTATTCTACAGACGCCGATAATTACAGAGTTTAATATTGGATGAAATGAAGATAAGACGATAAATAAAGTTTGTTGCAATGGTCTCTAAGCTTATAAAACTCATAAGTCGTGATTGATTCCATGTACGATTACAAAAGAGACGTAACGATGCACGGGTACGAACAAAGGCGCCAATCCATTTATCAAGTCAAGTGAACTCACTATTCCCAAGGCGGGAGCAATCTATGTACCATTATAATAGGCGTCACGTGGTAATGTCAAGCAAAAAATTCCTTGCTAGGAAAGCGTAATGTATACAAATATATGCCGCTAACCACAACACTGCTTACCACTCTGCTAATCGTAAGTCCAATGTTTATTTTTTTATCAATACAAACTCTCATTGCCCGTGTGAGATTGCTCTTGATTCTACTGAGCATTACTGAAGGCCGTGCAGAGTAACAGAGCCACTAATAGCTTTATATGTTGGTGTAAGCCGACCGGACGAAAACTGCAATTTTGATTTGTGTGCCAGTTACCGATGGACGATTTGGCCAATAAGATAAACAGAGGCCGTACAGTTTTGGTCAATGACATGCCAGTACCTACGAATTCAGGACGTGGCATTTGTTCAGTTTACTTTTGACGTATAGCTGATTTCTGCTCCGTAGTGATTCGAATACGTACCTCTTGATCACTCGTGGTCGTCAAATATATAGGCTCAAAATTACTTAAGTTGAGCCATAGTAATAAATGCTCAAGCGTTCCATCCTCCCCCTTTTTTGGGTATACCGCAGATGTGCCTATTTATTTGTTTATGCAGTTTCCTTCTCAAAGGTAAACCTTTTCCAGTTCGAAATATGTAGAGACCCTCATTTATTAACTCGCAATGACTTACTGTAAATAAATAGGATCTGGGACCAAACCTTACAGCTTCATTAGGTTACCATTAGCAGAGGAAATGTGAAGGAGACAATTTTTGCAATTATTTGATTTCAAAGTCTCTTTGAAATGGGAACGAGAAACAGATAGTGAGAATATTGTCAGTTAGCACAACATAAATAAATCATGAGCCATTACTAATGGTGAGAAATGTGAGTGCATGGGAAAATAGACTGATGTAAGTTCGCTAACCGCCTGAATCTCCGATACTTTGGATTTGCTGTCGATTTCGTCTCGGTAGCAGCACCGACGTCGATGTCTTGGAAGTGGTCGAGGTAGATTTCTCTTTTTCTCTCGACGTGGACTGTTGTGTGCTGGAATTATGACCAACTAAGACTCGGCAGCATTCAGGCAGGACATTGGCCAGAGCTCGTCTGGCCTTGACACTGGCAAGCATAGATACTGCTATCACACCTCCCTGAGCGCTGTTTACCAGGCCCAGTATTCTTCGCATTACGAAGAGTTGGGACCACCATCCAGCAAAAAGTTGCACAAACCAACTGGCGCCGAGGATAATAGCCAGTTTAGCGCAGATTCCGGCAAGGTTTTTTGACTTTTTGCGCCGTTTCCGCTCCTGTTCATTCTGAGGGGAGGAGTGCAACTGTGCTTCCTTAGAAAGGTGACAGATTTGGACACAGACCACAAGGAGAGCGAGAGAGTTAAAGGTGATCATGGTGCCCGCGGGCACAAGGAACCAAACGATCAGCCCTCCGAGGTTGGTGAACCAGGAACGCGCACCATCCGGACAGAAACCTGGGTAGACGGCGGCCAATGACTCTCCGAGGACTTCCGCAGTGGTGATGTTGAAACTGGCGAATTCGTCTTCGGTTTTGGCTTCGTCAAAGGTCGAAGGCTGAGAGACTGATGAGAGGTTGAAATATGCCGATGAGAGCAGATTGAAGGCATGTTCGTTAATAGTAGTGGCCGGTAGGACAAGGCAGAGGGGGAGGATGGTTGCGACTAATAGGTATTTGCGAAATGGTTTTCTTGCTCTGCTGTGTTTGTAGCCACGGGAGCATATTGCTGTCGACTATGAATCAGAGGTTAGCAGTTGATGGACAGTAAAATCTTTCGGAAAGATAAGTAGATGGAGGATTATTTGCCCTCTAAAGTGTTACGCTTTAGTTTTGCATAATGCTTATGCTAAATGTGATCGGTTAAATACAACCTCTTGGATTGCTCTCACAGTCTCAATTATAATATGCAGAACTATTAGTACTTGTGGCCCCAAAATTACTTTTTCAACATCTAACTATTGCCTTCACACAAAATTACTTATGGTTCGTCTATCAAAGGGACTGTTTTTAACGCATGCGTTGACTGACTCTGTCCCTTAAGTATGTGAACTCATATCTATAAGATCAACGACCTTACATCACAGTTGGATTATTAAGACCTATTTCAAAAATAATATTGGTACTAATACTTAAAAACAACTTCCTAATTCCTTCGACCCATTGCTGCAAAAGCGTTATATTGTGTGAGAATGGCCCTGGTTGGTTATGCTAGCCAGAGAAGGGATGGAATCACTCAGTTGATAGGTGTTGTGTTGAAACCGCTTTGGCAACGGTCTTCCCTACCTTACCGTAAGCCCGGATGCTTTTATTTAAATCGAAAACCATAATTTGGGCTAGCCTTCTTTGTAGTCTGTTAAAAGTTTGATTACGTTCATTTCAAATTCGGCCAACTGACTCCAATAAAAGGCCAATAAAATGACAAATGGGCCAAAAATTACAGCTGAGAAGCTTGATTTGCATCCGTTGAGATATTTGGGCTTTAACACTTTTTATTCCCACAGACAATTGCGCGGTAAACGAACAGCGAGCTGTGCCCACTCAAATGATGCTCCCGCTAGTGCGAATGCCATCAGTAATCCCGAAAAGTGGTACGTGATTCGTGTTAATTTCCAGGCGGTTCTATCATTCGAGCATAAGTGTTGGCCATTCTGCCTTGCTTGAAAGAAAGCCCTGTTGGGAGTGTAAAAGGATAGGCCATTTCTTCGTAATACAATGGCAGCCGGTGTACCATATCCCCGAAGAATCCGGTAGATTGACGTAAATATAATTATAAATAAGAGGAGGACGCCTAGATATGCCAAGTCATTTGTTGAAAGTCCTCCATTTAATCACGATGCTCCTTTTAATTCAGCACCCCACTTTTTGCGCATTTGGCCATAAAAACATTCGATTTTGTTAAATATGAGGCATTAATTCATTTTTATGCAATATATATCCACCAAATAGCTTAATAATCATCCTAGAGTTTAGTGCATAGCCTCTGCTAGGATAATTTCCAACGTTTCGCCAAGACTTTGAAGCATGTGGTGGGAATGAATTCCAGTCGAGAGTTGACATTCACGTAATACCGCTGGAATTTCCCTTCAAGACTAAGTCAAATTTTTAAACCAGCACCAAGACCATTTATCCAAAAAAAGACTGCCCTCAAAAGAACCACCTCCCCCATACGCCTCAGTGAAGTAAAACTGAGGATACGAGTGTATCAACCAGATGCATTTCAACTGCAAAAATTTGCTTTGATCTTAGGCCGAATGTGTTTGTGTTTTAGCTAGCGAGGCCTGAAAAATTGTCCGAATTGTGAGCACTCTCGTGTAGGTTTATGATTCGAGGTAAAAAGGTTGTGGTTTTATCGAGTAGAGAGAAATAGTGGACATGGCTACGTTTGTTTCTTGACGATTTCGAAATGTATGCATGACACAACCGGGAAGATAGATGGCATTAGTAGGATTTAAGCAAACCGATAGTTGCTAAAATTTTTCATAATAGAAGAATAAAATTGCGCCTTTTCCCTATTAGCCTTGAAAAGGACATCATGCATAAAAGTCTGCATGTGCACTTCGTTCATGAGTGTATTCCCAATAATTCGTCAAGCCATCATGGGTGAGAATCATAGCCTAGCTCTTATAATTGGAAACACAAAAGTGTGTTGATTGCATTTGAAATATGATGCTGGATCTAGTAAAAGTATGTGCTTTTAAGGCTTCTTTTGAATGGTTAATGCATTCTAGATCGTGTTGTGGGTCACAAATTGCGATCACAGTAAAGATCCCGAGCCATCACTTACCTGAATCGCATTGATGCATTTTTACGCTTATGCATACGATTTAGGGAAGGCAACCATTGCTAGTTACTAATGCAGTATTGAGGGACCACGATTCACGACGATACATCGTGGTAAATAAAACAATGAACCCATACAAGTACTAAAAAATAGCGCAGTGACCTAAATGCACTATAATCATAGCTGCTCCACACTATCTTATGCCTCTTAAATTATGCTTTTTAAACTATTTCCAACTCAGATAAGTGCATTATACTTAACTTGTGAGGAATTCTTTGCTGAAAGAAGTGTCAATGGACTTATCTTTCCATCGACGCATACTTACTGTCCATCAAAAGCCGAACTCTTGTCATGGTGCAACTTGAAACCCATTTATGTATAAAATGCTTTCATTTACAGCGGCTACATCTCAGCGGGACCGACTCTACGACTTTCAGCCCGCGGGTTATTCACCTTTCATGGCAAGATGAAATAAATTAGATTTTATGGCAGTCTAGTTTTCCCATGTTTTGTACAATAAAATTGAAACATAGCAGTGCTCTAACTATTCCCAACACTTCAACCTTTGATGTAGAGTACTTAAGGCGTTTAAGAAGAAAAAGGTGGGATTGGTCCCAAATCACCTTTGCTAACTCACGAACGTCACTCTTGTTAGAGGATTTCATGTAACTGCGCATAAATGCAGTTCAAATCACTCCAGCCGGACCGACGAGCATCCCTTCATCTTCTCAAAAATCCATTTCGCTTACTTTCGAAATATCCATAACGTAGAGCCGAAAAAAGCTAGAAGATCTTTAATTACGCCTTTAAAAATAAGGTAAAATGACTTCCTTCAAGAGACTACTTTTAAGATTCCTATCCTGAAGACAAAAGTCAAAGAATTGGTTTTTAAAATCGTGCTTAATCAAAATGGAACCACAAATAATAAAAAATTAATGATGGTCTTTGAAATTCTTCCAACGTAGCAGCTTTATGGAACCGAAGTGGAGAAAACTTGATAAGAAGGTTAAGGTTGATAAGCTGAAGTTGTGGCATGCTTAAGCAAATAACCAGAACTTCAATGAGTTATCATAATCTATATTTGCCATAAACTAAGAAACTGTGCCATTGACAAGCTGGATAGTGTAGATACATTAAGAATAGTGCATTCGATCGATGATGCATGATGATGATGTTTTACGCTTAAGACGCTAAAGGCTGTGTAGTATGCTTATTAACACTTTATTAATATTTTAATATCGAACATGTTCTGGATCCTGTGCACATGTGATTAAAAAGGGAGGAAATCATCGCCGTGCAATTTATTGCGCTCACTGGACTCGTTAGCGTTGCAATTCACAATGGCCGTGGTGACCACTTTCAGCGTGCAGACCATAAGGGTAGTGAAGTCCAGATGCTCATTGAATGAATTGCTAACTTAAATGAATTACTGCAGCCTCGACGTCCGAATTACCTAGTTTTCTGTCCCCTTTTTGTCGTTTTTGTTTAGCCCAAACGCCGGTGCTAAAAAACGCACTTCCCTCTGACATGTGTTGCGAAACACTTTGAATGTGAGCACTGGAAGGTGCTTCAGTGCAGTTTCAGCTTGTGCTTGCACACTTGATAGTGACATAATTAGCAATCGGCCCTATATTGTATCTGCCGTAAAATGAAAATTAGTTGGACTCAAGACTTAATGAAAAGGGAATGGTAAGGACAATTTGATATTTAAACAAGCTCGTCACTTGTTCCTAAGTCCAATAAGGTCAAAGTACTTTGCCACTTTACCAATTTGGTAGCCTTAAGAAGTACCCCACTCAATCCTGCCAGATAAGATTGTTTTCTTCCAGAAAAATAACGATATTTCAACATGCTTGCCATGTTTTTGATGAGCTAACTCGGCCTGACCAAACTCGATGCTTAAAGGATAAAGCAGACAAAAATGTCTAAATAATTATGTTTGTGATTCCCACTTCTGAGTTATCACTATACCCGACGGGACTCCAATCAACTCTTTGAAGTTGACATAACTTTGTGATTTTCCGATTTTTGAAACTTTTTGGATAAAACAAATTAAAAATTGACTTCGTGATTTTATTACATTGAACCAAAAGGGAAGTTTTATGAACTCCATGGAAGTCCAGCCATTAAAATTTTCCATAAATTGAAGGTAGAAACTGAGAAATGTAGCGAGTATACCATCTATAATTTGCAAGTATTTTTTGTAAAAAGGGTACGGAACATAGAGGGATCAAAATTAAAGTTTTAAGTAAAACGGCGACGTCTAAGCGATTCTAAATGAGTGCATTTCGAGATCGTATAGTTCACAGCTGGTGTGGGTGAAGAAGAGCCAGTGTACAGATGCTATGCTACAACATTCAATGGTGCTTTCGTTAAAGCTCTTCCTCAATGCTAATCGTCTTAGTAGAAAATGATGAGTTAATATTTTCGGCAGATTGCTCATACTACTAGTTGGCTCTAGAAGACACTTTGGTGCTGTTACTTCTTTTTTTCCAGAAATCTCCGTTATCCCACTCAGCGATTGGTATACTGGTAAGGCTTTTAAGGAGATGGAAGGTTTTTTTATCATTCATGTTGCCAGAACATTTAAACCGAGCACGATGTGACATGTGACTCGGAACCATTATTATCCAAGGTTGGGATTCTGTTTTCATTTTAAATATTCTCCGCCACGGTCATTCAGTAATGCTATAATCTCACCTACTTAAAACTTCAATATTAAGCCAACAGTAGAATGGGCTGCTCTTAAGCTTGTTCAAAAGAGTAGTTTTTAATTCAAATGCATTGATTATTCACATCGTGGAATTTGAATTGTGCTTAAAAGGTTTCTCTGTAATTCGCCATTTGATTTGTGCAGTTAAGAATTCTACAGATTCGTCGATTTCACATATTTGTGGAACCGCATGTTTGGCATTGATTAAGTACGAAATTGAAGTTAATGGAATAAAAGTAAGGCTCTTAAAATTTCGAAAACATTTAAATGACAATAATCACAGATAGGACGTAACTATAGTCCCATTTTAGGCCCACAAATGCCCGAAATCTGTAGTTTACTAAATACCTTCACAATTGAAAAAGAAATTTGGAATTTGGCGCGTATGAACTGACAGAAGTGTTTTTTGAGTTAAATTCTACAGAACTAAATGTTTCAAATGTGTATTTTTAGAAGTCTCTTACCGTTCTTTTGTTCCAATGACAAGTGAGGAACTTCCAGCATATAGTAAAGCAGTTTCTACAGTTTCCGAAAGTGAGGAGAAGCTGCGTAGCAAGGAGCGTCATCCATGTGAAACTACAGAGGAGCGAGTAAAGGAGCAACGCCACCATGAAGACACAAAATCCGCGATTTTCCACATGAGAGACGGCAAATGCGACCATCAAAAAGGTCGCCTCCATCACCAGCAGTGCTATTCCCAGTCCCATGGTCAAGATGCCGGCTAACGATCGCCGCAATTTGGCAGTCAGACCGTAGACCACTAGCATAAGAGTTAGCCCAACGATGGAGAAGATGAGTAGTGCTAGTTGAACCCAAGTGTAAACTGCATTTCTATTGTCTGTATCGTACACTGGATTTGATGACGCACTGGAAATCTGTGTTTTGTTCCTGTTGGTACTGTTGCTGTTTTTGTCATCTTTGCCAAAATTGAGAGGAAGAGTGATGTATTGGCTGTTGAGATATTCATCGGGTATGATGAAGAGATCGTCCATACTGAGGAAACTGACTTTTGGGCTAAGGAGTCTAGACCGCTGAGGAATGCAAGGCCGACTCAAACTCGCTGGAAGTTTTACGCTAACAAGGCATTCCGTTGTATTGCCTTCTTTTCTGCAACCCAAGTGAATTGGTGAGAAGTGAACTTGATCTTGAGATTGTCCATTGCAAATGGCACAAAACACGTTGCCATAAAGTCGCCTGTTGCGGAAACTTACTACAGGAACTACTGAACGCGCGTGTGTTCGTAGCCATTGAAAAAGGTTCTCCTCCCGGCTGGCAACCAGCATCAGATCAGCCTCTTCGCACCCTAATTTCACTTCTTCACTAATTGGCTTTTCGGATGGACAGTGGGTGATTGCACTGACATAATCGCCGCTTGGCAATATCATATCCTCTAGAAATACGTTTTCTATACTCAGACAGACTGATGGCACAGCATCCCCTTCGGATGAAAGTGGCGACAGGGTGCTGTTTACAGCGGCACAACAGTCGTTTAAGTCGTGGCATCTGTAGTCGCAGAAGCACCCTACGCCACTCATGCACTCGCCTAGGAGGACGCTCTTGAAGTCCTCTCCCCATGCTGAGAAGGTAAAAAGAAGTAACAGTGGAAAACCCAGCATCAGCAGTGTTCCTCTCAGTTATTTTTTGTGCTAACAACCACGAGTGTTTGCGTTTTCTTGGCGTGAACACACAAGCCTGTAAAGCAAGCTGATTGGTTGGCTTTGGTGGATAATAATTTGTCTGTTTTCAGCAGGCAGATCCTGCACATCCCATACTGTACTGCCAAGAATATATCTAAAAGAGAAGTATTTTATTTTTATACGCATTTAGTATTCAATAATATAAAAATTCTTATCACGCGAAACCTGAAATTTAACTTCTATAATGCTTTACAGCGGAAGTGAATCTAAGCCCCTATTTTTAGTACCATAAAGAAAACCCCAGGAAGGCTGCTAATGCAGTGTACAAATGCTATGACTGTTATTTGCTTCTCTCACTGCGGCCCGCTTTTAGAGAATCCTATTTAGATGCTGCTTACATTTTACCCATTATTACGAGACTTGCAGGTCTTGATGGATGGAATCGTAGCGTTGCTAAGTGGCTGCTCAGCGCATGTGTGTTACAATGGGACGGCATTTCGGCAGTTTTGTACATGGTATCACCTCTTGGGGTTGAAACTTCTTACGTATACCTCTGCCTCACCAACTAGAAAGATCCTTATTTCATTATGGTGGGTTCGAAGGAATTTCCCCATCTGACATGACATTTCATCACACTTGTATTACTGGCCGATTTTCTGATGAAGCATTTCAGTGCGACCGGATCTATGAACGAAATTGCATATCATTCAGTGTTCCTAAAGGTAAGTAATGTGTAGTCAAGTTCATGAATATGAGGAAGCAATTCTTCCAAGTAATGTTTTTCACGCGGTTTATATAGTAGAGGTCAGGCATTCGGATCTATAGGTAGATTTAGAAAGACGCCTTTACCTATTTAAATTAAGCGAGCAGGCATTTGGCATTAATGTAAAAATAACGTCCAATTTGATGAAATCTCGGTCAAGGTTGGTAAAAAGCTTTAAACTGCTTGAAAAAAGGGATAGTAGGCAGCACTTTTATCTAAATAATAAAGTGAGTGAAGTGCAGGGGAGTCTGACGAATGTAAGCCGCTTGACTTTGCAAATTCAAAAAGGAGAATCTAAAAGGATAACTGGATTATGTTTCTTTTCCACGAATCAAAGTTAATCCGCTAAATTCTTTCAATGCGCTTTTTTTGATACACCTTTACAACTGCTTTCGCATGGGTAACCACCAAGGATACTGCTGGGGATGCAACCAGAGATTCATCCAAATAGCATCCCATGACCAAAAATTTAAACAAGTCCAACTGCGTAGATTAATCTTACGATTTTGCCTGAGGAACTGCATTTACGGTGCTCTTATTGTACTGATGTGATTTACATCACTCCTATACTACTAAATCCTTCTCGTGCCCCACCTGCATTTCTTGTTGCAGTCTGCCTAGATCATTGCTTCTATCCAACACACCTCATTATTATTAATGCAGAGTATATCGGTGTGTGTTCTAAATTGTCTTCCCCGTCAACACAACCCTTTTTAAGCCGTTTCGTCAATGTAGGTCTCCGGTACGTACTTTTTTAATATACCATTTCTTGGCATAATATCCCATCCTTTTTCTTCTAGGGCATAGTCGTGGCATTGTGGATTATTCAAAGGAACGCGTTTTCATCTCGTGAAATGCTAGACTATCATTTACATACCTACACGCCCATTTTGAATCATTTTGTATTGAATGGACGGTTTCATTTTGAAATAATTTTCATAACTACTTCTTATTCATGTCGGTGGCTGAAATTCGCCTTTTACCCATAAAATTGGTGCTATCCCCCGAAAATTTCAATACTAAGCTTGTAAATTCAACACTCGAAATCTGTTTGAAAAATACGTAATATGTGGCAAATCCAGAAAATGGATACATTATTTAATGGAGGGGTAACAAATCTTTGAAAATAAACATGAGCAGACGGAACTTTAAAAAAAAGTATTGCACAAAACAACGGTGTGTAGTAGATGTTACTGAATGCGTTACCTTGCTATTGATGCGGCTGGAGCCTCGATATTCCCTTTTTTGGGCTTTCAGAAATAATCACGAGTTTTTACCCACAGAGTGAGCGCGACTTTTATTTTTGAGGACTAACAAACTTGTAAGTTGCTTTATTTCACCTTTTAAAGTCCGATTCATTATTGGATCTGATTACATTGGAAACGTGGGAGTTGATTGGGCGGACAGCTTGACGCATTTTTATTGGATCTAGGAGCACCAAGTTTGAATTGGTGCCTGCAACTACGTTTTTGGATGCGTCGGCAAAACTGGCATATCGACGTAACGTTTATACTTAGACAATAAGCTGTCGGTGAAGGTGAGGTTTTTTCTTATATTATGAGAAATTAAGCAAACAAAGCAGCTTGGCAAATTTGCACTAAGATTAAAATATGAATCAAAGTCGGCGGAAATATTTTATGATAGTTAGTTGCACTAATAATGTGAAAACGGAAAAATGAAGTTGAGTAATGTCCTACGTTTAATAATGAAACCAGATCGCTACATCGACTAGCCTTAAACAATGTCATAAACGAGAGGATTGGATTAAAATATTTTTGTTTCATGGTAAAGCACACTGGACTTAGCGTAAAAAAAGGTAAATCGTAAATGCTTTCACACCTAGTAGATTGCTCGAAAGTAATGCTTTTTGTGCATTGTACTGTCAAGCTTTGTAAATGCCAGTTGGATTTAGTATTGACTATCTTGCTAATTCCGAGACAATGGACTGGTGTGATCTACATAAGTTTATGAAACTGCTGTTAGTGCATGTAAATAAGCTGCACTTATTAAGACAAAAGTCCATTAATGTCCAAATTAGGCATGGCTCATTAAAACAGACCTTCTTAAACAAATAACAGTGGTGCATTGAAGCCATAGTGACGTGACATTCGATTGTGTTCTGTAATGAGTAGCAGCCATGCAGAGCTTACATTGGAAAGAGGCGTGGATCACACATTTGTCGATTTCACCGACACACTCTCATGGGTGCATTCGTAAGGGCCATTTCTGGCTTCCTCTCTGCGTATTTGAGGTCTTTTGTCCTAATAAAAAGGATGCCAAGATGAGAGATTTCTTTAGCAGCTCAATTTAGCGTTGTTTAAGCAATTTTGCAAAGCGCTAACCCTTCATCTTAGCATGTGGAGAGGAAGACAAGGCTTCACTACTTTTGCGACTGTCCTATATTTGAACAGGAAAGCACAATGCTCAGAGGTAGCTGTTTTTTGCAGAAAATACAAACGAAGAATTTCATGAAATTAGGAATAGGATAAGCTGACTCTTATTTCAACCCACCCGCTGTTGAATACATCAATTCTGCTAAACATTAATATCTTGCATATGCCATATTAAATGTTCATCACACAAGTCAAGTCATTTTATTTACTAATTCTCAATATGTACTTAAGATTTTAACCTACTTCCTTTATTAGCGTTTCATCCTATTCATTCGCTCAAGTCGTTATAGCTTAAAAAAGTGGATTCCCACTACTTTAAAAGAATCTCAGGACTAGTCAAGCTGTTGGCAGTGCAGAGTTGTATAGCTAATTCCAATCTTAGATTCTTCATCTTTTTTAATAAAAGCAGGTCATTTTTTATAAAAGGAGCAACTTTCTGCACACACATATGTGTCGTATTAAAGTTGTGTGTACCACTTGAGGGAGAACCATGTTGCGTGAATCAGATTAAGTAAAAACCTTTCAGCGAAACATGGCGCTGAAGCATATTTGGGGTACCTTATAACATACTCCAGGCATTTCTCAAAATTCTAATAAGTCGATTTAGCTATCACTTTCAGGGCAAGTTCTTCAAATTTTTGCTTTTACTCGGCGCCAAAAATAAATTATTGCACACTTTGCTTTTAAGACCTAACATAACGTATCATTTTAAGCAATTTACAAAGTACATTAAATGGCGAAGGCAACTCCCTCCCTTCCATCGATTATTCCAGGCCTCCTTAGGATCAAAATGCCAGCTCATTTCATTAGGACTAGCTTTAACTTCATTTCTGGTATATCACAGGTTCATTGTGAAACACTCATGTGAATTGTCTCAGGTTAGGCACTGTTGACTACTAATGACACTGTGGCAAAAACACGGTATATGCTCTGACTTGATTCGTTCATTTCACGTCCACCAATAGAAACCTACCAACGCAGCCATTGGCGGAAGCCAGCGCACAAAATTTTCGATTCGGGCTGCAAATGTGCCATACAAAAATCAGACACCGTGACATTCAAGTATGTTAATTGCAGTGATTCATATTGCACTGCTTCTCGTGCCACAAGTATGCAGTGAGACAACGACTTCTGGCGGATCGGCTAGAAGCGGCGAATTCGGTCTCTTTCGCAGCCGTGACAATACAACTACAGGTGAAGCAGAAAAGTATGCAATGGCCAATCCGAGGTTACAGTGCATTGGAGTCATGCGCGGCCTCCTCCTCACAGCTGGGGTCCACCTGGAGCCGCGTGTCATGGCCATCGGTCAGTGTCCGCCAGAAGCACCGCCCACTTTAGCAACCCTCTGTTCCACCGACATCCCTGTATTTCCTCCAGAGGTGGAATCCGTCAGTAAACTGCAAAATCAACTCCTATCAAAACTTAAGACCGGAAACAAACGAAACTTAGGCATGCATTTAAACCTAGCTATTCGGAAAGTCTCTCCGGTTGTCGACTCTAAATCGAATGATATATACGCAAATATATATTGCGCACAGTGTCATAATGTTTCTTCCACCAAACAGATAAAACGCCTTCCAAAACGACTACTTTGTGACAATCAGGAGGATGCTATTAAATGTTTCGTCCAGGCTGAAATGCCGAAAAATGTAAGCTTCTGTGACTCATACGCATTAGTTCTACGATCCTTCTTCACCTGGGACTCCATATTCACGCTTCCAGAAGAAGATGAAGCGGATACAGAGAGGTCCTCTACAAAATCTGTTTTTGAGTTGATTCAATGGATCTGCTGCTCCCTCTCAATGATCGCACTGGTTATCGCCATCTACTTATTTGCCAGCTCGGCGCGATTGAGGAGACCGCTCCCAGGCAAAATGATGATCGCGCTCTGCTGCACACTGTTCAGTGCGCTGGTAGCCTTCCTCCTCGCCAGTGGCGTCATGGACTTCCTCAGTGCGCCTCTCCGACCAATGTGCGTTATCTTCGCCTGCCTCCTCCAGCTCCTCCTTCTTGCCGCTTTCGTTTGGATGGCAATTTTTGCCACGGAATTATTACGTACCTTCGGCCTTACTCGAGTGTTCCAGCATGCTTTTCTGTGTTACTGCTGCAGGAAAGTGAGAGACAGAAACACCAAAGCAATGGTAAAATTGCATTTTCTATGCGTTAGCAAACAAACTGTTCCGAATAAATAACAGGGGATTTTATGCAGGTTGACCAGGTGATCACTTCTAGAAAATTGTGACTGAAACCAAAGTGAGAAACTGTTTACATTAGAAAATGTCTTTGAGGGCTAAGAACACTGGTGCGCATAGGATATTCACATAACACTCTAATTCCTCGAAGAGGTGAACGATGAGTTACATGATATGCGATGGTGCTGATGTCAATAACATAAGTGAATAAGCATCACTCACTTGTGTGCATTTCGCATCAGTGTTTTGACAACGCATTTTGAACAGTGAATAACCTACACACAGTGGTTGGTCCAAAAAGCCCTAGTGTGTACCCACCCATCATGCATAATAATCGTAACTTCTTCCTCATTGTCACGTTTACTTTTGGCCTTTATGTTCAGTCCTCCAAGTGACGTCTAGCATTTGCTGGCAAAGAAAGTGATTATTTGCGATAAAAACAGGAAATGCGATCTCCAAGTCAGAAGTAAAGGCTCAATGAAGGTGAAACCAATTCAGTAAATTTCTTCACAACAAGGATTACAACAGATTATCCAGTACGAACTGGCCACCTCACTGTACTTGTTAATATTAAAGGAAAATTTCTCCAGTCAGGACGTGGTATTTTGGCACTCTTTCCCCTGAAGTTTGATTAATCGTGTCTTCATTTGCTAGTGTTAGCGTCGCTTGTTAACTCATGACAGTCGGATGAGTTTTAATTTAACTGGCCTTATGGGTGCTTTCACTAGCACCCTGATTGAAGTCATACCCTTCCTACTTCCTCCCACTGCTTTGTCTGTGCTACTGGTTCTGTGAGAATTTTTGCTGCCTATGTGAATAGGTGGGATTTGGATAATGATGGACACTTTCAATTCGATCAGGTGTAAAACATTCGTGAAGTTGTGCATCCACACGTCTTCTCTTTGTTTTGTTAACTAGTGGAATTTCCCTCAACTTGAGAAACGCGTTCACATTCCATAAATTAGCTCGACTGTCTGTTCATCTCGTCATACTAAAGAAATACTCCCGTTATTGTAGAATTCCCAAAAAGATTTTCCAAAAAGAATTATGTACTTCTCAGTGAATTTAATAACATAATTTGATCATGATAAGTTGTGGCAGTGTTCAAGGCAGAAAGCTAAACAGCGCGTTTTAGAAAATTCTAGTGATCTATACACGACGTACACACAAACACCCGGTTGACTAGTCTGCCATTCAAACCGCTCAAGACTGCACCTATTGATGTACAAACACTGAGAAATTATTCATCAGTAAAGCTTTTACCCAATTTAAGCAGAACGCTTTGCACGAGAAACTCCCAATTTTTCCATTTCCGGGAGCTTACTGCAGCACTGAGTCATTTCGCTCCATCCCATAAGAATCTATGAAGTTCATTCGGCCGGCTCAAAAAGGTCGCTTCCACTTCCAGAATGATAGTCGGTTTTTAGTGTAATGTTGTGTCAACTCAAAAAAATAAATTCTAATTTACTCTGAGCCATGTTTTCAAGGCTAGCATCAATAAAATGTGAGTTTTTTGAAAAAAAGTGACCAAGTTTTTTTTCTTTTAAAATTCTATAATACCTAAACTTCACATTAATTCATTTATGCCTTATTGTCTTAGGGTATGATGCTTCGCGCGCGTGGGTCAGATCCTAACTCCAACAGCCGTTTCAAGCATCAAATAATTGTAGCAATTATACTTCCTCTCTGTTGCACCATCCCCACTTTGATCATCAACGAATACGCCTACCGCCGTCTGAAACCGTTGTACGATACCAGTGCTAATAGCAATTGGTCCCTCAGTTCTCAAGAGGCGGAACTTGGGTCTGCTTTATACCGCCTCAATCCTGGCTTCTGTCCCGTCAATAATCCGAACTACGCCTGGTTTAAGGGGCATCACGTAGGCCTTTTGGTCTGGTTTCTTATACCCTCAGGAGTCACGATCTTCTTTAATCTCTTTGCCCTCATTATTGTGTGCATTCAAATCTGCCTACTAAAACGGGAGACAGGACTGTCACCGAGCACTGCAAGCCCACAGATCGACGCACACACGAAGCCCTCCAAGTCTATCGTCGCAGTATGCACGAAACTGGCGGTCATTCTGGGCGCCAGTTGGTCTATCCAACTTCTCGCGGGCCTGAGTCCCCAACTGGAGCTGCTGAGGCAGTTGGCGGGTCTAGTGAACAGCGCTCAGGGCGGCATAATCGCGGTCTCGATGCTAGCGAGCTCGAAGGCTCGGCGCGTGATGGCGCAGAGGCTCCCCGCAAAGTGCTGCAAGGCCCTTGGCGTCAGCGAGTCTGCTTCATTCAGCACCCAGGAAATGACCACCTCCGCCAAATCCAGGTCACGACTCGCGGGCCAAATCAACTCGCAGACTACCAGCCTTCTCCAAAGTGTTGGCTCCTGAAAACCTTATGCTCACGGATTGTGGGCGTTCACATAGAGCCGTTTTGCGCATTGAATTAATGCAGAATCAGTCTTAAATCTTTATCCGTGGGATTGTTTTTAATGTACAATAAATAATTATCATTGAAATAGTGCTGTTATCACTGAGTTGTAACTGTTTGAGATTTTAATAATTTGTGAATTAGCAGCATGGAAAAGGAACATTCAAATTTATCATACTTATGCCATCACTTCATTGCCTATTGCAACTGTTATACTGTTTGAATTTTTATGCGAAAATGCTTTTGCACAAAAGCTGCCCTTAGACAGAAAACAACGTGAACGCTAGCTTACTTCTTGGCATCTTTTTCTCGTATTTGTAGGCACTTCTGCCAGCCATATCTGCTCCCTTTTGAAGTTTTATGAAGTTACTTATTTAAAATCATTTCCAAAGTAGCTAACCATACAAAAAGATATTAGAGCCATGCTATTAGTAGGTAAGTAGATGCCATGTAATCTTGCACCCTCGTCATATCACACCTCCATCATCCGAAGCGTGATATGGCTTATACAGTCCTGAATGCCCAATGCCTCATGACGACAACCGCAAACCACCAGATTGACGGGTTCTCCACAGAGATCACTGCTATCAGTCCTTCGCCGACTTATGACTGTCCATGAGCAGTGAAGCGATATTCGGCCATGCCATTTTGCCTGACAGCTAACCACTAGCCATTGGTGCTCTCAGGTTCAGAACTCGCAATAATAAATTGCTTGTTAAAAGTGAGTGCAATAAAGTCGTGAGTAGTCCTTTAATGACCAACTTACGCTAAGAATGTATAGGAGAGATTAATTGAAGACACGAAATTAACAGATCAGCGCCATTGCAAACTCACAAATGATCACGGTGATAATCTGGTTGTTAGTAGAACATTGCGAATTACCTTTCACAATGCGTGTTGCTTAAGCTAAGAGAACTTAGTAAGGAAAAAATTCCACTCCGTTAATAAGAAAGGAACATTAAATGTCCAACGATTAAAATCAATTGGGGAACATGAAGTAGGAACAGTGACCTCCACAACATCTGCAACAGTTTCATATGCCGCCCTCAGGTAAACGCCACTGCAATTTCCGCATATACGCCAAGTTTGATTTCTTCACTTCATCTCATTGGAATACCGGGTTTTCTATGTAACTTATATGATATCTACTTGATATTTCTTACTTAGTTTTTTTAATATCCTCCGCACAAAAACATTTAGTTTGTGTTTCTAATTAAAAGTTCTCATGTTTGGCAATTTACTCGGGAAAGATTTTACACCTGAACTGGGAAGATCTCCGAACAGCGTTTTTTGCCGTCATACAATAATTGCTAATATTGGCTTACGCATTATTGTGCTAAACTTATGGCAACTCTTTTAGGTATTCTTCTTAGACTTGATGGGCAATTGGTTTTTTGCTGCACTCAGTGCCAGTTAATTGCATTTTACATGGACCAAGCAGCATCGCTGTGCGCCCGAGGCAGAAGTTTTTGGGTGTGCGAATAAGACCAATGGCTGCAAAGTAAGGCAAACTGTGCAGACTGCTGCTGCCCTAAAATTTATGTATCCTAATCCCAAAGTTGTCACTTCTTACTGAATTTAAACTTCATCTGTCCAAAAGCGGACTACCTCCGAAATAAAATTTTAGCGGGTTCACTTTTGCTTCACAATTTTCATTTAATTTCACCCTCAAAAATCATGATAGGCTAGTTTGGGTTTAAATGCAGAAAATATTGATGTTGAGTTGAGAGATGAGCCAATTTCTGGTTTGAATTTACATAAAATACATACCAAATAGATTTTGAGACCTTCTTTAAAGTTAGAACAGTGCTGTAGAAAAGTTTCAATAAACTAATTTCATACTCTGGCGTGTGCGTTCGCACAGAAACCATGATAGACCATTTACACCAGTCGCGACTCAATACACAAGTCGTCACCCACTTCCGAATAGCAGCACGCACCTTCAGTGACATCAGCGTCCACTTGCGCAGATTACTGAGTGACCTTTTTAGTTTCCTGTATTCCTCTGGGTCAGCCATTCTAAAATATACCTGGATTTCCCACAGAAATAAAAGCATCTGATGTACACAAGCAAGGCTCATAACGGTGTTTGCTTACTTCCTGTAAGAAAAACCGATATCTTCTACGGAAAAATGAAATCCGGACTGTGGTTTAACTGTAAACTGTTTGGTCCCACCTAACCAAACTCTACGAATTTGTTATTTCTTGTTTCAGGTGGATGAATTCTCCAGATCTTATTTCGATCACCATTCAGGAGTTCTTTACACTGAGCACCAGGGTAAATTTAGTACAATCGTATAGAAAGACAGGTGGAATGTCAGCAGAAACTGCATGTGCGGAATCCAGGACCACCAAGACAGTAATCGAAACCCTTAATGCGAATAGTTAAATACTCAACTTAAAAAACTGTTCTGGTACAGTTGAATGTAGTGGAGTGTGCCATCTTTGTGTGCACGCTTAGCCGGCCTATTTTAACTAAATTGATTGAGTTAAATTAAATGTAAGCCCATTCTAAGTGGGCGACAACTTAGCTACATTCTCCTCATGATCTACACATACTGAAGAATTCTGGCCACCACCTTAAAACACGTTGACATCAACAGTCTAAGGAAGGAACGGGTTTTAAGACGCAAGCATGCGCACCCGAAGTCTTTTTATGCGAGGGTATCACCTCTTTAAAGTGAAATGATTTATGGGAAAAGGCAGATATTTTACGAATTTTTATGAGCTTGGAAGAGTGTGACTGTCATTTCACACCAATTTCAAAGTGTAAAGCCAGGTAGTCTTACTAATATAGATCAAAATTAATGTAGAACTAGAAAGTGCTTGAACCTGATTTAAAAATCGAAAGAGCTTAAAGTCCTAAATTGCTTACGAATTTTTGAGGGGCTGTCATATTAAGGCCATGATATTTTAACCCGAGAACACATCCTATCGAAGAGTGGCTTATTAGCTGAAAAGCATTAAGAAGAGAACACCTTTTTGCAATCTAGATCAAATATTCATGTAGAACTGGATAATACAATCTGCTTAAGCCTACCCCCTTCATCTGCGATAAGAACTTTTGCAACTGAAGTGACTAGACTTATCATTACTCCTCTTAGTGGGAATACAGAGTCAGAAATATAAGCACATGGTAGAACTTTAAGGAGGGATTGCGGAGAACAACACCAATCGAAGGTAAACCTCTAAACGAGTGGAGCATGTTACTGTGGTTCTTCTTCGCTGATAAAATGCACTTTAAATGTCTTACCAGTCATTCATTATTCTTAAAACTATTGATACGCAGTTTGTTTATTTTAATATGCCATTGATGGAAGAGAGGCGAGGATGTTACTTTTGCACTAATTTCAAATCGAGCTTGAATTAGGCGATGCAAAATTATGAGGCGTCTGCAATGGCCGTGCAGGTTTTCCAGTCTCCATTAGCGACCGACGGGTATTTGTAAAATTTGTACGCGATGCATTTCCCTACGGCAGTACTGGGCAACAGCACTTCGTACCACTTTATTCGACAGCGTGATGCAATGAGTATTTGGGTAACAAGGTTGTTATTATGTGAAACATACTTCACTTGCTAGTTCCGCAACACGCAGGTTTCAGATGAAACAGATTTCATCCTGCAGTAACATAGGGCGAAGCATGGGAATGGTCTAAATTGTGGCTCAATTTCAAACCACAGCTCTGTTCCTAATACAGCATTCTCGTTGAATTTGAAAACATTGGAATAAGTTCTCCAATCGCGCATTCTGAAGTTGTTATACTACAGATAAATAAAATATGCCTGTTGTTATAGTCATTTTAAAGTGGACCCGTTACTTGGAAGCTATTAATTTGCTCGGTCTTGTAAATCCGTCATTCTTGAACATCTGACTGGAGAAAGTTACCTGGTTCGTAAAATACTAAAATCTAGCTTTTTTGGAGACCCATGCAATTTACAACCTTAAGAAAAGGATTTTAAAAGTTCAAATTTGCCCATCCCCAGTTTCTACCACCAAAGCACTTTCCCCATCAATAAAAATAATGAATATTTTGCAACCGCTTCTGCAAAAAACGTTGCCCGAGTTCTCAAGCTGAATGAATATTCGTGTAAGGAAGCTGGCTTTCCATTAATTCTCATCTGCTCGTAAAATGGGAAATCATGAAACAGAAGCTATTGGAACTGACGAGAAGTACAGCAGCAATTGATACGTCCACTTTGCCGCATAAAAATATCCCAATAGTTTTTGGTTGGCAGGCTACAGTTCTTTTGACAAGTAGAACGCGCTTAAGGCAAAAGCTTCGGTACTCGCTCATTCGCAAGTCGTTGCCTTTAAAACAGGTACTACATGTATACAGAGGTTCAACGGAACTCGTTCCTCCCCTTTGGTTAGGAATGTGCCTAGATGATGTTGTAATGGCAGGATTTTAAATGCCATGATTGCAGCAGCATCTCCTGCCGTTCGAAGGTCACGTCGCGTAATCGCCTACAAACCGCTAACGCTAATAAGTCGTCTTTTTCATGAAGGTACACCTGACACAGAAGAGGACTTCTGCATAGTTATTTCTTTTTTGTTTAAGTTCATGTAGCAATGTATCTGGCAGTATTTCACGGCAAAAGAGATGCGATCTCCATATGATGTGCAAAAATAATTTTGTACTTAACTCGGCAGACCAACCTGCTGTGATGCTGAACTCCAATAAATAGTAGCGAAATTTGGGTCACCCAAAGCTAAAAAGGCAGCGCTTCTACGTTGCGCAATTTGTTTGCGCTTCACGCCAAGCCTATCAAGCCTCCTCGCAACAGCTTGTGCTGTTCTTGTTATTATTACCCTCTCAAAATACTTATCAGTGCTATTTTTCCAGGTCTTTTCACTTCTCTCCACAAAATATTACCAGAGAATGCTGACTTTGGGAAGTGAGTTATATGAAGTATCGTCTTTTAAAAATTGCAATAAAGCATTATTAATGTTTGCTTTCTAATTAAGGACTTCGTTACATGTCAGTGGTAACTAATTCCAACTTCTGAGAATATTTGTAATTAAATCCGCGGCCTTACATAAGTATAAACGAAACCAATTGGTTCTGCACATCAGTATTTGTAAGAGTACTACTATTTGGGCATTTGAGACAATTGAGGGGAAAATGGGGCAAGTTCTTATTGCCGCTTCAGGTCCACATAAACTTCTCCCCAGATTTCAAACTGTTCACACATTTGCTCTTTCTTCATCTTTTTTTAACATTTTTTTTTCATATATGTAACACCGTTTCACATTTTTGGACAAAATTGACTGAGGTTTTAAATACATTTACCTGATCTGGAAACCCAAATGCTGAAAGAGAGCCTTCGTGCGAAATAGGTTGAGATGATGATGGATGACATTTGAGGCTGAATAATGGATTGGATGTGACCAACCCATGCGGTACGAATGAAGCGGCAGGACCTGATGGCGCATCTAGTTTTTGTAGACTTGGAAAGACTGAAAATAGCCCTAACTGGCCTTAAGCACTAGGTCTACTTCATTTATATCTGCTTAAAAAAAATCACATTTAAAGGAGCAGTTCAAAACGAATATGTAGACCAGAGCCAACAAAAATGCAAAATATCTCAGACAAATTTCGCCCCACTTTTGTCTTTAGCCTGATTTTTTCATATAGAGGAAGAGATCCTGTGCTTTAAGACTGATTCCGCAATTCCTTTTCTATTAGCTAAAGCATTTGTTGTATACTCGGATATCTTTTGCAGCATACCAATCCACGTACCAAAGGCATTGGGCCACTTAGTTAAAAGCAACAATCCCCACATTTCAATCCTGTTCGAAATTATCGTCTTTCACGAGGGCAACCAATTCAAGCCTCACTCCAAGAGCATCATCATGACCACCAGACACCGCAGTTATAGAAAAATCTGTTCGAGGTGTTTCTAAAACATGTATCATCTCAACCGCGAATAACTCCTTACAGAAACCACGCTCGATCAAACCACACACGCACGTGAAACATTGCTTTACATTGCCTCCTAGTAACCTCCAATATCGCAATCTCAGCATTGCCGTGACCTCGTGAAGATGCACTTTAGGAGAGCCAACATTAAGCAAATTGGCAAGGTAGGAGAATTACATGCCTTTATTAATTGTTGCTTCAAAAAGGCCTGTACGTAATAGACAACTGTTAGTACGGAAAGCGCAGAGGATCTCATTTCATCAGGCTCCTCCTAAAAAAGGCAAAGGCACCGTTATGCTTACAAAGAATAACAATGATGAGTGTGGCGCATTTTATGCGCACTGGCCTTCTATGCTGATTATGTAATTTACGCCTAAAAACCCGAAACAATCCAGCATTCAAGTTTTGACAGATGGCTATTTTTGCCTAAAACTCCGGACAGTAAGGTCTAACCTTGCAGCTTTTAACCAGAGCCCGCTCAAAGACACTCCACAAAACGTACTCTCAGCCAAAGTAAATCAACGTATGAAAACGAGACTCGGTACAGATCGGCAACCCAGGTGATAGTTTTAATCAGAGTCGTTCAAAACAAGCTCATTTAGGCGGCTTACGTGGTAGAACCCTTCCCACTCAATACGACATAGGGTGTTCCCTGTTTTTCAAGTTTCTTGTTCAATTTGTCTAGCGTTCCCAGTGGTGTGTCCGAGCCAACGCTATTTT